TGCATTGGGTTTCCTGCTCAGTAGGGGGCCTGCTTCTCCCTCTCCCTCTGCCGCTCCCCCTGCTTGTGCTCTCTGTCAAGTAAATAAATAAAACCTTAAAGAAAAAAAAAAAAAGCAGAGACTAGAACTTCCAAAGAAACTATTATTAATATTCTATATGTGAATAGTCATTATATCCATAAAGAACAGAACACTTTTTTAAAATGCTGTGAACATTTTATAAAATTGATAAAACAATTAAAATACAAAGGCAAGGAAATATTCCCAAAGAACATGGGGGAGGGGCAAAACAGAGTTGATGGTATAGGAAGCAGAAAGAAAATATAAGTAAGTTATAGGATTGACAAAAGAGGTCCAACATGTGACCAGTAGGATATCCATAAAGAAAAAGAAAAAATAGAGAAGAGAAAATTACTGAAAAAAACATACCAAGAAAATTTCTCAGAAAAAAAAAAAAAGAATGAGTTTCCTTATGGAAGAAAAGGTAGAAAGAAAAAAAAATCCTGTAGACTCTAATAAAAATGGCTTTTGATTTTTCAATTGCAATATTGGAAACTTGCACAAAGAAGATACTCTTTAAAAGTTCTAGAAGAAAGTTATTTTTAGCCCAGTTTTCTACACTCAGTGAAATTATCAACCAAGTATTCAAATAAAGAGTTCCACATATGCAGAAGCTCAGTGTTTTACTTACTTTCTTATTTACTTTCACAGCATCAACTGTGAGAACATAGTATCATTTCCTAGGCAGCTCATTAAGGACATTCTCCAGTAAGTAGAGGAAATAAACCAAGGAAGTGGAGAACGTGAATCCAGCAGAAGCAGAGCAGGAAGGTGAGTGTACAGATGTGAGAACGCCCACTTATACTGAATCGCGTAGCAGACACCGCCAAGTTCCTGCACACTCTGGACAACTTCGAGACATCAGTATCTGCTTTGTTTGCCCAGGCTTTTTCAAGAACCACTGAAGGTTATTCTGACAACAGGACAGCAGGTCAAAAATACCAAGTAATTGGGGCGCCTGGGTGGCTCAGTTGGTTAAGCATCTGCCTTCGGCTCAGGTCATGATCCCAGGGTCCTGGGATCAAGCCCCACATTGGGCTCCCTGCTCGGCAATGGGCCTTCTTCTCCCTCTCCCTCTGCCCCTTCCACTGCTAGTGCTCTCCTGCTCTCTCGTTCTGTCAAAAAAATAAATAAAATCTTTAAAAAAAAATCAGGTAATTAACACTTCCCAGTAGCAGACCTTAATATCCTCAATATCTGTAGAAGTTACTGTATCAACAATACCCTAGCTACCTTGCCTGTGAGAAAGATAACTCTCAGGTATAAAACTTCATGGTTTCCCTATGGGTTCAGGTCACCCACGGAGGTTGGTGGCTTGACAATGCACCTCTTATTGGCTGCCTTGCCTTCTTTGTCTCACTGCTCCACTCAATTTCTCAAATATTCATAAATATTTTGAGCACGTATAGAACAATTCATCAAGTATTCCGAGTAGATAATGCACTTAAAACATCAATTATCTAATTACCTGACACTCAATGAACTCAAGACTGAGTTTTTGCATGGAGAACGCAATATGATACAATACAAAATATAGATTAGGTTTCCATTCTATTCTTCCCCCACCCCGAAAAAGTATTTATTCTAATGTAAATGAAGAGTGGAATACCTTGTTTAAGATATAAAACTAATCCAAATAGCACTTAATAAAGAAAAGAAGTGCTGTTTAAAAATTATTATTTAATGATTGAAGACTTCTGAGTGAGGTTTGCTGGCAACAGGAAGGAGATGAGGAGGGTGTCGTCACCCTCACTAGTGGGAGAAGGTGAGTGGAAATCAGTGAGAGCAAGTCAATGAAACAGTTACCCATATCTAACCCTAAGGAACTGGTTAACATCCTCTTTTCCGGGCCATGCAGACCTTGGAAGTACATAGAAAGCACCACTGAAGGAAGCTGGATACATAAAATGGGCATCTGTGGGTGGTGTGCCCATACAGGCGATTCACCAGCATCTTGGGGATGGTGGTGGGGGTAAAAAAATTTCAAGAAGAGACGTGTTGCTGAAGAAGAAGTACATGAGGCTGTGGAGGTGAGGGTCCAAGAGGATGGCCAGGATGGTAAGCAGATTCCCCACGCACCCAACCAGATACAGGCTGGAGGACAGACCAAAGAGCCCTTGCTGTTGCAGGGGCTGCTCAGAGAGGCCGAGGAGGATGAATGCAAAGATTCAGGTCTGTTTGTCCGTGTCCAGGCAGTTCTAGAGCCAGAAGCAAGGGTGTCAACTGTGAGTGGACTCCTGGGGAAGAAGCGGATTCTCGAAAAAATTAAAAAAAAACAAAACAAAACAAACAATTAAAAGAGCCTAAAACTCACAAAAAGAAAGAAAGAAAGAAAGAAAGAAAGAAAGAAAGAAAGAAAGAAAGAAAGAAAGAAAGAAAGAAAAGAAAAGAAACAGATTCTGGCATTAATGTCCCGCCCCCCCCCCCAACATCGTGCATCTCACTAACTCCCTGAGCCTCAGTTCCCTCATCAGTTTCAGGGGACTAATCATTCTAACCTCTTAAGATCATTACAAGGATTAAGTGAGAAAAATCTGTTTTAAGGGGCTGAAATCCATGCCTGACATACAATATGGGCAACTACTTTTGTTAGTGAGAATTTCTAGTGATGCTATAAAAATAGTGATATGTAAAATAAAAATAAAAATAAAAATAAAAATAAAATGGACATCTGTTTGGGTTTCCTTTGCTTACAATTATAAAGCTCCTGCTAACATGAAACCATGGTGGCAATTGAGTTCTGTTTTCATTTTAGTTTTTTTGTGATACCTCTGCCCACCTCCTGATAAGGCAAAGGCAATTATTTTTCTGTATGTTCTAAAATTTATTTTTAATGTTTGGTATAAAATTATTCAGGTGCTTACCCTTCCTCTCCCTCCAAGCATCAGTGAGCATCAGACTGAACAAATTCCTCTCTTATAAATTCTTCTGATAAGGCCTTTCTGTGCCTTTTAGTCTCACCTACAACCTTAACAGTCTTCTCTACTTTCATGGATCAGATTTTCAGTAAATAAAGTGGGAAATGATATTTAAAATGCACACAAATTTAAATGACAAGTAGCAGATTTTCTCCCCCTGAGAAAATGTCTGAGGCACCCCAGGGGCTCACAGCACATCCTCATGCCCTGAACCAACAGGGAAAACTCAACATTCATCATAATGGATTTTTAACCTATTTGTAAATTTTAATCAAGTTGTTTTTCAGGCAGGTTTAGTAAATATTTGATTGGTGAGACTGCACATAACAAAAGGCATCTATAAGCCCAGAGTCCAATGGTAGGTGGAAAATTAAATGATTCTCTAAGAAAATGGAAAGAATTCTGTTGGAGCCAATTAATACATAAGAATGCAGAGGTCTGATGAAGGGGGAGGCTGAGGAGAGAGAGAGAGAGAGAGAGTGAGAGAGGCCAGAACAGATGTCCGAAGAGAGCCACAGAGAAAAGTGAACTGCGGAAGAGACCAGCTGTGCTCTGCCCACATCCTTAACTGGAGGCTGATGCAGGCACCGCCACAGCGCCCTCCCTGACGGTGACCCCCGTCCTCGGGAGCCCAGTCAGTGGGCCCACGGTGCTGGCCGTCAATGCTGTTGGAGCAAGTCTTCACCGATGAGAGGAGGGAACTGGTGGATAAATGCTCCAGGTGCTCACCTGGAAAGGCTACTCAGAATTGTGTCCCACATGCTCTCAGAGCACAGTCGGCGTAACTGAGCACCCTTTAGCAACCACAGTGACCACCCCAATCAAGCTCCTTCCTTCAGCTGTCCTCCCTTTCTCATCTGATCACCTCACTACCCACTCGCTGCTTTCTGGGCCACCCTCCAAGGAAACTAGTAGCCCACAAATCCTTGTCTAAGGGGAAACCCGAAATAAAGATCTACCGATTTCCTAGAAGCAGGTGCAGGCAAATGGCTTTAAGGACCATCAGTAGTCACCTTCCATGTTAGGTCGGTTTCTCTAACAGTTCCAGCCCCTCTGTTACATCGAAAGTCCAGTGAAAACCTTTGAGACCCCACTGCCTCTGCAGAGTATATTTGGTGAAATAAGAACAAAAGAGGCCAACGTTCCCCCATAGAGGCATGTAAACAAAGAGAGAAGAGACGAACAAAGGGGCTGGGACACAAATGAGAGATTTCAGAGGATGCAGGCCTTGGAGTGGGTGGTGAGTAGAAGGAACAACAGTGTCCAGGATACCCCAAGATACACAGGTGATTGATGGAGGTTTCTCCTCATGTGGGGGATACTTGCTCAGACCCTTTCACCTTTCAGATGGAGGACTTGGGAACACACAGGTGGCCTCCATGTGGGCCTCATTCATCAGTCTATCGGAGTTTGTTTTCTCAAAATGGAAGAAAGAAGAAGGAGGTCCAGACACAAACACGAATCCCTTTCCTGTCAAGCAGAAGTCTAGAGGTAGCATTAGTGAGACAGAGGGCAAGTGCATGGAGGTTGGGTAAAGGGCAGGACTCCCTTCAAATGGGGAGAATGGACCAGGGTTTGGAGGTGTGTTGACATTTAATCTAAGTACTGAAGACCTGGGGGATTTTCACATGTGGACGTGTGCAGTGAGGCAATCCGGGGAGATGCTTTGCTATGAGCCCACATCCATGTCCAAGGCCCTTACAGTAAAGGAAATGCACTAACTTTATGTAATGGGTGTGTTTAGGGACCTCATTAAGGACAGACCACAAAGACAAAATCATTTTTGATACATACGTTTTTACTTGAAAAAAAAAATGTACATTTTGTGTCCAGAAAAGCAAAACCATCAGCTACAAGATAATCAATAATTCTACAGTCACAAAGCACTAAATGTGAACAAATTATCCTTTCTAGACATTTATTACCATGAATGATGGTGCAAAGGGAACAGTAGAGTTGGTAAGCTGAAGTGATCTGTATTGTATTGAAGGTGGCACATTTTTCTCCCTCTTTTGGGGGAAATTATAGTGGTGACTCCACAGTATATTTCTTTGCCTTGTCTCTCTGTAGTTCCAGTAGTTCAATCTCCAAAGACAATTTATACAGCTCCATGGCCATTTTCACATCTTCTGGGTTGGGGAGACAGTGCATGGCCGTTCTGCCTTTCTGGACATGTTCACAGCCTTCAGGGATCACCTGAAAGATATGTAGGTGCTGGGTGTGGTTGGGTGGCTGGGGCAGTGCTTGGGGGGAGGCCCCATTTTTAGGTTGGCTAGCACAGGAGCTTTTCTTCAATTGTGCAACTTACCCACTCGCACTTGGGCACCCCAGGGTGCCAGGTTCTGTCCTCTAAGCAAGTGATATTTTGGGGACCATCCAATTTATAGCCAGAGTCACACTGGATGGTAAGATTTGCAGTTTGAAGATATTGATCCTTATCCACGGACAGCTTTGCATGGGCTATATCTGGTTTTGGACACAGAGCTACAATGGAAACACAGTTTTAAGCAATATGTAAATCTAAGGAAAAAGACATGACAACAGGCTAGGATTATAAGAATTAACTATCATAGGTGCTGCTAATTGTTTTATCTTTTGTTTTTGTAACAGTAATATTTGTTAGCATTTTGGTTGAGCATTGGCCACAATTATATATCAGACTCAGGCTAAGCATTTTGTGTGATTCAGCTTTGTGAGGTAATGACTGTTAGTTATCACTCCCATTTTTCTAGGAGAAATTTGAGATACAGACAGGTTAAGAAACTTGTCCTAGGTCTTCATACTTCTGAAGAACATGATAGGATATAAAAAAGGCATGTGATCCCAGGTTCTTAGCTATCAAAGCAAGTCTCCCTCATCTCTTGATCCCAGCCAGACACTAGCTGTGAAATGTTCCCTCCTGCTGATTGGCTCCTGTATGTAATAGAGACTATGGTGGCAAATAATCCCCGGAGTTGCTGATGGCAAAATGCTATTAACCTGTGTGCTTGTAAAAGTCAGACCTGACCTTGACTTGTCCTGTCCCCTCAGCACAGTAGGAGCTCCCCCATCCCCAGCCTGTAGTATGGGTAGGTCGGTAGGTGGCGCCTTGCACGAGGCTGTGATGGAAGTATCTGCCACTTCGTGAAGTTTGGAATTAGCCCTTGAGAGCTTTAGCATGAATGTGGATTCATGCTAAAGCAAGCTTGCATGAAAATTTTGCTACAGGCCGTAAATGAAATGGGCCACCTGCAGAATTTTTCTGGAAATATACAGGAAAGTGGGCATAGGGGTTGAATTTTATGACTGGGAGAAAGAAGGGAGGTTGATGTTTATGTATTCCCTTTGTACTGTTTGCATCCTGAACATAGTCATGATTTCAAATAAATCAAATCAAATCAAATGCTTCCGTGCTTTTGTGACATTTCCACCCACCTGACTGAAAAGGGAGTTGGAGTTACCTTTACATTGAGGGAGTGCAGGTGTCCAGTGTGAAGAACTGCAAGAAAGTCTGGACTCTCCAACCAGAGTGTATCCTTTGTCACATTTATATATCACTTCCTTTTGTATGAATACACGGAATCTTTCAACTTCTTCATAATATCCATGGGCAACTTCAGGAGGAAAATCACAATCTTGATGGTGAGAGATAAAAGTGAAAGAGCATGAGCTTGTAGAATGTAAAAAAATAACTCATCCCCGAATCTGTGTGTTTTGTAGGAGGCTCCATTCTGTCCTGTCATCTTCTCTGCTCAGAGGATCACTTAGCCAAACCCAAGACCTGGGCTGCCCTCCTGTAAGCCTCAGGCTGAGGAACCATCATGGCCCCATCATTAGACCACTTGGTGGTCATCTCTAATATCTTCAAAAGTATAAGGGGAATGGATAAAATTAATACTTTGCTCAACCCCCACATTGAGTTCTCGGCCTATGGGGTAAGACCTGTCATATCCCAGAAGTCAAGTAGAAGCCATTGATCCTGCCTATCCCCATCCCCCTTGAAGCAAAGACAGCATATTAAAAAATATTAAAAGGCATATTAAAAAATTAAAAGTGGCAGGGGAAATGGGGGCATTGTGCCACTCTTACAGAACTAAAGCTGCCTCCCCATTATACTGCCATTTACTTCCCCAGTCTGTCTAAAAGAGAAGTTAGGATTCTGGGGAATGACAGTCGACTATGGAAAATTCAACATTTTAGTTCTCATTTCAGATGTGGTGTCTTTGCTAAAGTAGATTTTTGTATCTTCGGGTAAGTGGGGACCACTGGTTTAGCAGGTGCCTTCTTCTCATCCCTATCACAAAAGAGGGTCAGAAAGTTTGCATACACACAGAAGGATAAAATCACACATTTGTAGTTTTAGCCCTGTGGTATGATAACTCACTTGCCCCTGTCATAATAGAGTCTGATGATACGATGATTATCTGGACATCCACACTGATCCAGTATGTCAATGGCCTCATGTTAATTCTACTGAATGAGCAAGAAGAAACTAGCATGTTGAGATAGATAGATAGATGATAGATGATAGATAGATAGATAGATAGATAGATAGATAGATAGATAATAGATAGATAGATAGATAATCCATCTGGGTTTCTGGCGCAGATCTCCTAAACCCTTGTAAATTCCTACGTGCCTAGAACACTAAGAACATCTTTTGTTCTATTGAGGCAATTCTCAGTGGCTCCTGGATTAGAGTTGGCCACCAGAAAGATCAAGTCATGATGAAAAACTTAGAAGCTTAGAAATTTTCAGGCCTGCTCTCCTCTTCAAAGAGAGGAGAGAAGTAGGAAACAGTGTTAGTAATTGAGCATGCCTATAGTGAGCAAGCCTTCATAAAATCTCAGTAGTATATTGTTCAGGGAGTTGCCAGGTGGGTGAACACATCCACGTACTGGAGGATGATGTACCCCAAATCCACAGGTACAGAGGCTCCTGTGCTTGGGACCCTCCCAGACTTCACGTTATGTATCTCTTCGTTTGTGTCCTTCATCATATCCTTTAATAAACTGGTAAATGTAAGTTAGTGTCCCCTGAGTTCTGTGAGCCCTTCTAGCAAATAAATGGAACTCCACAAGGAGATCATGGGAACCTCCAATTTGTAGCCAAGTTGAACAGACTTTGGTAGCAGCCCAAGGACCTACTACCCACAATTGGCATCTAATGTGGGGGGCAGTTTCGTGAGACTGAGCCTTTACCCTGTGGAATCTGCCACTCTCTTCAGGTAGATAGTGCTGGAACTGTGGCAAATTATAGGACACCCAGCTGGTGTTGCAGAGAATTATTTGTTGGAAGAAGAAAAAGAAAACACACACACACACACACACACATTTGGTCACCTGAAATGTTGTGAGTGTTCCGTGTGAGCAGTAAGAGAGACATACAAGAGAAACACAGGAAGTGAAGGGGAAGACTGGGTTTTTCCAACTCCCATACTGACGCTCCAGATATAGAAGGTAAAGATTCAAGGGTTTGCCATATCAATACAATCTTCAGAGGTCCAGGGTTCAGGGCTTGTTAGGCTATCCCATCTAAGTTAATGGGATATGCACATCACACCACAAAAAATGATGCATAACACCAAGTAGAACTTTCTAGACTCTAGAGGCAGTACATTACATACTTGGGAATACTATTCCAGCCCATACGCTAGATGACATAAGAGATAGCTGGGTTTGAGTGGGGCCCATGTTGGGAAAAGCCTCGGCAGCAAGTCCAGTTGCAGTAAAATTGTCCTGTTGCTTGAAACTTAGGACACAGCAGAGCCTAGTATATTGAAGGTGGCTATAGTCAGAAAGCATGCAAATATCAATGGGACTATCACAGCATATACCCTTGAGATCCTGAGGCAAGGCCATGCACTGCTGCAGAGAATTATGTGCTGTTTGAGATATAACTCTTGACATGTTGTTTGGTCCTGATAGAAACTGTGCCTGATATTGGGTCATGAAGTGAGCATGTGCCAAAAATCATGATCTTGGTCTATCAGAACCAAGTTATAAGGCCAGGCAGGCAACAAACAATTCATTGTAAAATGGAAGTTGTCATCTGGGATTGAACATGGGCAGATGGCACAAGCAGCCCGCACAAATAGGGAGCCTAGATCCTACTTGTGCCCATCCACTGCTGCACAAGTGCCTCTTTTGCTCATGCTTACGGCTATGTGGAGTATACATTATAACCAACTGACAGAACAGAGGGAAGCCAAGCCTCATTCACAGATGTGTATTTTGGGTATGTGTGTGCAAGTTAAAATGGAAGGAAGCTGTATTAGAGCCTGATCAGGGAAAGAGAGTAGTAAGGAAAAATCTTAGGTAATCTTGCCATTCACTTTTTTGGAAAAAGAAATGGGCTAAGGATAGATTAAATTAGCCTGGAATGCCCCAAAATGAATGGCTTATTTGTCAGCATCCTTAAGGACAAAGATTGGAAGATTGGGCCCAAGGAGATCTGCGGTAGGTAGAAGCAGGTGACTGGACGTATGGGGATGACAGGAAGTGCAAAGCTTTTATTTTGCGTGTTAACACCAGCAGAGCATCCCCAGTAGAGTAGGCATTAAAAAATCAAATAGAAAACAATGTCTCAGCCAGTTGAAGTCAGCCATCCTCTGTCATTGGCCTGACCAGTGCTGTCACAAGAGGAAGAGGAGCAAAGTGGTGGTATGGATGAAGAACAAGCATGATAGGCACAACATGGACTCCCACTTACCGAGGCTGTCACTGAATCTTCAAACTGCCAGCCACAATGCTAAGTCCCTAATATGATACCATCCCTTGAGATAACCACAAAGCCACTTGGTAGCAAGTTGACTATATTGCATCCCTTCTCCCTGGAAGGGACAAATAAGTATTTTGACAGAAATACACAAGTATTCCAGGTATGGGTTTGCCTTTTCTGCTTGTGGGACTTCAGTCAGCACTGTTATCTGAAGACTATAGAGTGTTTAAATAATTGGCATAGAATTACACTATGTGCGACTAGAAGACCCACTCATAGCAAAAGAGGTGTGGTACTAAGACCGTGGCCATGGAATGTACCACTCACATTACAGACTGCATCATCCAGAACCTGTAGGCCTGTTTGGACATTGGAATGTCCTGTTAAAGGCACAGCTGAAGTGCCAGTTGAGAGGCAATATTTTACAGTGATAACACTTCAGAATATTACTTTACAATATCTTCTGGAACACAGCACTCTGAACCACTTTAGGGCTCCTTTGGGCTCCTTCTTACACACTAGGCAAGAAGAAGCATCACTATCCAGCAGGGGTAATTGTTCTTGATCATCAATAGATAGGACCACGGAAAAACAATGGGAGAGGTAGGATTGTATTTAGCACTTAAGTGCTCTTGGTGAGGGAGAGGTAGGCATTCCACACTGGGGGATAGTCTGAAGGAGAACTTAGAGATAGCAGAAGGAAGGGAGGAAGTTTGAGGAAGAAAGGAAGCAAGTTGTGAAAGATGGGTTCAAATAGATTTGGGTGGGTCTTGAAATGCAGATTAAGGCATATGGACAGAAAGAAGAGAAGAAAGACAATAAATACCAAGAAACAGAAGACAATAATTGATAAGTTCAGCTGATCTATTAGATGTGGCCTATTTTTACTGATTTCAGAAAAGAAAAGAAAAGCAGGAAGGTCAAGAGAATGGGAATAAACAATGAGGAAGGAAAAGAAAGTTGGACTGGGGGCTGGGCAATGCTTTTTAACAAATTTATCCACTCCAAAAATCATGAAGGGTATACAAATTCTTCCTAATTTGAAACCTTCCCTTAATAATCTCCATCACTTTGATATGAAGAAACATCGAACAAACTGAGGGTTGCTGGAGGGGAGGGGTGTAGGGGGATGGGGTAACTGGGTGATGGGCACTAAAAGGGCACTTGTTATAATGAGCACTGGGTATCATATGCAGCTAATGAATCACTAAATGCTACCCCAGAACTAATAATACAGTATATGTTAACTGACCTGAATGTAAATTTAAAAAAAGAAAAGAAAAAATAACATAAAATTCCATAAGCTCTTACCCTCACCACATGATGGTGTTTTGGGATGCCACGTGCCATCTTCTTGGCACCTAGCTTCAAACTGAGATTTCTTATAACACATATAAAAAACTGTGTCTCTGTAGAAATAAGCACAGCTATTCACAGACCTAGTGCTTTTTGAAATGATTTCACCATTCTCCAGGTCTGGTATTGGGCAACACATCTCTGGAAAATAGAAAGTGAGGTGAATCATTAGTAATCACTGCAATGAGGCGCCTATGGATAATAAATTCGTTTCTGCTTTCGAAGATTTCACCACTGAAGAGAGATTGGGGAAACAGAAAAAGGACATTCTGGGTCTGCTTTCCCTGTCCCTGATTGTTAAAGTACTCCAACCTAGTCATTTCCCTTCAACTAAATGATTTCATTAGGAGCCTCCAAAATGAGACACTGGATGAAACCTGCATGAAAATGGAAATTTTGAAAAGTATTCAAAAGCAATGACAAATAACATCCATTGCTTATGGATTCATTAAGGTTACATCATTATTAACCTCTCTAATACCTTACACTTCCTCAGTCACAAAAGGAAAAATGTCCTCAAAAGTTTATATCCACCTGACAGCTAACGCAGAGAAATAAATTTAAATTACTGCATATGGCCAGGATCTTTTTTGATGCCATATTTAAGAGAAATAGCGACTCAAATTCTTTCATTTTTAATGCAGTAAGGGCTGATAAAAAGATATTTTTTATTCATTAGTAGAAATAGTTTCAGGTAGAACATATTGATATTGCTTGATGTAAGAGAAAATATCAGAGCAGATTAAAATGCCCTATTCTTCACATCAGGAGCTTGACTAGAACTACAATGGTTTTTTGGGCATACCTAAATACTCTCACCACTCACTTATTTATGAATTACAATAAAAATACCCAACATTCATGTTTCTAAATTATAATATTAATATTTATGTAATACTGTAGAAAATACTTAAATCATAATATTTAAGTCATAAGTCCAAATCCACACTGTATCAGATTTTCTGATAACTAGGATAAATATCATTTCACTTCTGCTTTTTAAATGGTTAAATATATCTTTATTAAATAATTAAATCAATGCAACTATAGTGGGTAACAAAAATATAATTTTAAAGTAGGTTTTTAAATTCCCAACAAACAAAAGTCCAGGGCCAAATGGCTTCACTATTCACAGGTGAATTCTACCAAACATTTAAAGAAGAGTTAATACCTATTCCTCTCAAATTGTTCCAAAAGTAGGAGAGGAAGGAAAACTTCCAAATTCATTCTACAAGGTCAGTACTAGCTTGATACCAAAACCAGACAAAGACCCACACAAAAGAAAACTGTAGGCAATTTTCCTGATGAACAAAGATGCAAAAATCCTCAACCAAATATTAGCTAATCAAATGCAACAATACATTAAAAGGACCATTCAATCAAGTGGGATACTCACCAGGGATGGAAGTACAGTTCAATATTTGCAAATCAGTGAATGTAATACATCAAATTAACAAAAGGAAAAAATTTTAAAAACATATGATCATTTCAAAAGATGCAGAAAAAGGATTTGACAAAACACGCCATCTGTTCATGACAAAATGTCTCAACAAAGTGGGTGTAGAGGAACCATACCTTAACATGATAAAGGCCACATATGAAAAACCTATAGCTAACATCTTATTCAGTGGTGAAAAGCTGAAATCTTTTCCTCTAAGATCAGAACCAAAGATGCCCACTTTGCCACTTTTATTCAACATAGTACTCAAAGTCCTAGCTGTAGCAATCAGACAAGAAAGAGAAATAGAAGGGATTCAAACTGGTAAGGAAGAAGTAAAACTGTCACTATTTGCAGATGACATGATACTATACATATAAAACCCTAAAGACTCCACCAAAAAACTATTAGAACTAATCAGTTCAGAACCGCTGCAGGATATAAAATTAATATGTAATATTATATAGATTATATATAATATTAATTAATATGTAGAAATCTATTGTATAGATATATACAATATACCTATATCATGTATAGGTAGCAGAAAGAGAAATTAAGAAAAGAACCCCATTTACAATTATACCAAGAAGAATAAAATATAAACTTAACCAAGGAAGTAAAGGACCTCCTCTCTGAAAACTATAAGATACTGATGAAAGAAATTGAAGATGACACAAAAAAAGGAGAGATATACCATGCTCATAGACTGGAAGAATTAATATTATGAAATGTCTATACTACCCAAAACAATCTACACATTTAATTCAATCCCTATCAAAATGCCAATAGCATTTTTCACAGAATTAGAACAAATAATCATGTGGCACCATAAAGACCTCTAATAGCCAAAGCAATCCTTAGAAAGAACAAAGCTGGAAGTATCACAATCCCAGATTTTAAGACATACTACAAAGCTATAGTAATTAAAACAGTATGGTACTTGAACAGACATTTTTCCAAAGAAGACATCCAAATGGCCAACAGACACATGAAAAAGTGCTCAACATCGCTTGGCATCAGGGAAATCCAAATCAAAACCTCAGTAAGATATCACCTCACACCAGTCAGAATGGCTAAAATTAACAAGTCAGGAAACAACAGATTTTGGCAAGGATGCGGAGAAAGGGGAACCCTCCTACACTGTTGGTGGGAATGTAAGCTGGTGCAACCCCTCTGGAAAACAGTATGGAGGTTCCTCAAAAAGTTGAAAATAGAGCTACCATACAACCCAGCAATTGTACTCCTGGGTATTTACCCCAAAGATACCAATGTAGGGATCCGAAGGGGTATGTGCATCCCGATGTTTATAGCAGCAATGTCCACAATAGCCAAACTGTGGAAAGAGCCAAGATGTCCATCGACAGATGAATGGATAAAGAAGATGTGGTATATATACACAATGGAATATTATGCAGCCATCAAAAGGGATGAGATCTTGCCATTTGCAATGACGTGGATGGAACTGGAGGGTATTATGCTGAGTGAAATAAGTCAATCAGAGAAAGACATGTATCATATGACCTCACTGATATGGGGAATTCTTAATCTCAGGAAACAAACTGAGGGTTGCTGGAATGGTGGGGGTGGGAGGGATGGGGTGGCTGGGTGATAGACATTGGGGAGGGTATGTGCTATGGTGAGCGCTGTGAATTGTACAAGACTGATGAATCACGGATCTGTACTTCTGAAACAAATAATGCAATATATGTTAAAAAAAAAAAAGAAGAAGAAAAAGATAGCAGGAGGGTAAGAATGAAGGGGGGGATTCGGAGAGGGAGACGAACCATGAGAGACGATGGACTCTGAAAAACAAACTGAGGGTTCTAGAGGGGAGGGGGGTGGGAGGATGGGTTAGCCTGGTGATGGGTATTAAGGAGGGCACGTTCTGCATGGAGCACTGGGTATTATATGCAAACAATGAATCATGGAACACTACATCAAAAACTAATGATGTAATGTATGGTGATTAACCTAACATAATAATAAAAAAAAACAGTATGGTACTAGCACAAAAATAAACTCAGAGATCAATAGAACAGAATAGTGAGCCCCAAAATAAAGCCATGCTTATATAGTCAAGTAATCTATGACAAAGGAGGCAAGAATATACAATGGGGAAAACACAGTCTTTTCAATAAATGGTATTGAGAAAACTAGACAGCTATGTGCAGAAGAATGAAACTGGACCACTTTCTTACACCATACACAAAAATAAACTCAAAATGGACTAAAAACCTAAATGTGAGACCTGAAGCCATAAAACTCCTAAAAGGAAACATAGGCAGTAATCTCTTGGACGTTAGCATTTTTATGGATCTGTTTCCTCAGGCAAGGGAAGCAAAAGCAAAAATAAACTATTGGGATTACACCAAAATAAAACACTTTTGCACAGTGAAGAAAACCATCAACAAAACAAAAAGGCAACCTACTGAATGGGAGAAGATATCTGTAAACAATATATTCAATAAAGGGTGAATATCCAAAATATATAAAGAACTTATCAAACTCAACACTGAAAAATCAAGTAATCTGATTAAAGAATGGGCAGAGTACCTGAATAGACTTTTTCTAAAGAAAACAGACCTGTACCTCTGAAACAAATAATACATTATATGTTAAAAAAAAAAAAAAAGTAGGAAGGGAAAAATGAAGGGGGGTAAATCGGAGGGGGAGACGAACTATGAGAGACTGTGGACTCTGAGAAACAAACTAAGGGTTTGGGGGGGGTGGGGGGATGGGTTAGCCTGGTGATGGGTATTAAGGAGGGCACGTATTGAATGGAGCACTGGGTGTTACACGCAAACAATGAATCATGGAACACTACATCAAAAACTAATGACGTATGGTGATTAACATAACATAATAAAGAAAGAAAGAAAAAAGAGGTGGCCAACAGACACGTGAAAAGATGCTCAACATCACTCACCATCAGGGAAATGCAAATCAAAACCACAATGATATATCACCTCACACCTGTCAAAATGGCTAGTGTCAGAAAGAAGAGAAATAGCACGTGTTGGCAAGGATGCAGTAGAAAGGGAATCCTTGTGCTCTACCAGTGGGAATGTAAATTGGTGCATGTAAGATATGTGGTAAGCCAAGTGTCCATAGACAGATGAATGGATAAAGAAGATGTGGTGTATATATGTGTGTGTGTGTATATATATATATATACACACATACATACATACACCCACAATTGAATATTAGTCAGAAAAAATAATGATCTTGCCATTTGTGAGACACATGGATGGGCCCAGAAGGCCCATGATGGCTAAGTCAGACAGAGAAAAACAAATACTATATGTTTTCACTTATATGTGGAATCTAAAAACCAAACCAAACCAAACAAATAAACAAACAAACTTTTAAATGCAGAGAACAAACTGGTGGTTACCAGAGGGAGGAAACTGGAGGATGGATGAAATAGGTGAAGGAAATTAAGAGATACAAACTTCCAGTCATAAAATAAATAGGTCACAGAGATTAAAAGTACAGCACAGGGAATATAGTCACAATAATGTAATAATATATGGTCGCAGATGGTGACTATACTTCTTGTGGTGGGCACTGAGTAATGCACAGAACTGTTGAATTACATTGTACACCTGAAACTAATATAACATTGTGTGTTGACTATGCCTCAATAATAAGACAAAGAAGAAGAGAAAAAGATGGAGAAAAATAGAAGTTGGTTTTTAGATACGTATAAATAAACATTTATATAGAAAGAATTAGTGTATTAATTACAAGTCACTATTTTGTATTCATCAAGGAGAATCCTCAAAGGCTTGTATTTACCAATACTTTGTTATTTAAGTGGTGGCCATCATTATTAAATATATTTTAATTTGGTAATTTTGTTAAAACTTTTCATTTTATTGCCCCCGAATGAGTCTAAATAACTGTAATTAAACTCGAAGTCCTAATCTTCCAATTGGTTGAACTACCATTTTTCATTACTTGTTCATTTTACACATTTTTCCAATTCCAGTCTGTAGAATAAAGTTCCCTATATCCTGGGCCTCTGTGTCTGCACCTCTAAAATGGCAAGATTCTGATGTGCTCAAGAAGCATTTTCTCCCTCTGTTGTCAATTCCACTGAAGCCCATAAAACTGCATCTGCCTGTCTCTCAGCTCCTCACATTGTCTCAAAGAGAAAAGACATCTTGAGATTGCAGAAAGTCTCCTTTTTATCCCTCTGAGGCCAGAGTACTGGGTCAGGGTCTGTCTTCTGGGGGCAGGTCACAAGACCCAGCTCCTGCAGTCTGCAGTCCCTTGGCTCAAAGACATGAGACACAAGTCACTTTGCAGCTGGTTGAGTTCATGACTGTTTCACAGACTTTCCTTCTACTAAGCACCCCAAAGTCGACACTGGGGAGGAAATGGCTGTGACAGAGGTCTCACTCTGGTAAATGTTGAGCTGTATTCTCCATGCTACTTTCACCAGTGATGAGGCTAATACTCAATCCGACTAAGGCTTCACTTCTGTGTCCCTTCCATGTCCACATCTCATTTGATTTTGAAATGGGATAAGGAAAGTTATAGTCATAGTTTCTCAGCTCCTCCAAGACTTCCATGATCCCTTCTGACAATAATACTTAACTCCTCTGTTGAATTATTATAATCCTAAATTTATCTTGAAAGATAAAACTGCATTCATTTTAAGGTAAAAAAGAAAAAGCCTAGTACATGCTGGGTGTCTAATCTACAAAAAGATTTAAAAAGCAGAGACTCACCCTTACATCCTATGTGTGGGGTCCAAGTCAGATTTCTCTGACAAGTCACACTGGTAGGCCCATCCGAAGCAGGTTCATAGCCAGAATAACACTTGTACCTCAACACAGTTCCAATATTATATATTCGCTCTTTTGTCGGCACCTGGTTGTTGTATCTTTCCCAGTAGGCATTTGGGATGTTCGGTAAGTCAGTACAACTATCTGCTCATAAAGGGAGAACATGGGGAAAAGACACTGGTACTAGGGATGCAACAGTGATCATCAACAAGCCTGTCCTATCAGAGGATGCCATGCGTTCATTCAGCCAGGAACGGTCTTGCCATGGCTGATGCATCAGCCACATCAGAAAACAAACTAGCACCAAGTTCTCAATATTATTATTAACATAATTTTTCATGATCCACATGAGTTTATAGTTTCAGAGTGTCAGAATCATAGTTAGTCTGTATAATATTTTTGTGGAAGTTGGAAAAAGGCATTCCTCCCCCCACGGGACACTTTACTATTTATCTTTCAAGTCAATTATCATAATGTAATGATTTTGTTAGAACAAAACAAGTTTCCTACCAACTGCAAGAAAATTGTTGAAATAAATACACAAATCCACAATGCCTACAATGTTAATGTCTCCCTTTAGGGTTGAAGTGTCCACAACCTGCCCAACTGTATATGGCAGCCTTTTGTGATTATATAAGACCTTGCCTAGTGTACAGTAATCTTTCTTTTTTCCAACAACTAGAAAAAATAGACAATTATTGAACTAAATTTAAATTTTTACTGCAGTTCAAGTGGGTTTAGGCATACAAATATGCCCCCACCAACATTTCTGGGTAATTTAGATGCCAAACATTGAACTTCCTTCATGGTCCATACTTACTGAGCTCACAAATGGGAGGAGGAGGATCCCAGTCATTATTTTCTCCACAATGGATTAAACTGCTTCCTTTGAGAATAAAACCTTCCTTGCAGTCAAATATCATGGAGTTTTGGTAAGTATAGATGGTTCTAAATCCAGAGATTACGTTTCCATTTTTAACCTCTGGCTTAGGACAGATGATTTCTAAAGAATCACAAGAAAAGACAAGTGAGTTGTAAAAGAGAAATGGCAATAAGGATATTACTTGCTATTGCTAATCCAGTTTCAACTATGACACAAAAGCCTAATACAGTGTACGTCAAGCAGATACAAGGAAAACATTTTAAAGTGAATATAATTTCAACTTTAAAAAGCCTCAGTAAGAGGAGGTCCCATCCTATCGGTTCTGTTATATGATTGTGAGTAACGCCAGCTTACTCAAGCAAAACCAGCCATCTGCAACACATCTCTCAATGTCCCCATAATCCTCCCCTGACGGTGGCCTACTTTCCTGCATGATTTCGGTATGGGTCAGGGGCCAATGATGATGATACAGTGGTCAGGAGGAAGAGGCAGCCAGGCATCAGAGCTCTGTGCTCTCCCAAAGAACGAACTGCCCCCACCACCCCAACCCCACAGCAGTCAGTCATCCTGCCCCATGTCAGTCCTGTCACCTTGATGACTCATGGCTATGGCTGAAGCTACCTTCGCCACTTGGCTGTTTGGTTGCAACAGGTGCCTATGGGTTGAGTTTTGTCCCACTTCCTTTGTTGTCCCTTCTGGAGCCAGACTTGTGTTTCTGAAATGCAACACTTTTACTTCCCTGGTTAAAGCCTTTCAATGTTTCCCTTTCACCTTTGCTCTGAACTCCTCAGAGGGACACATGAGGCCTTTCGTAACCTGGCTCTGCTGACTTTCTGTCCTAAGTCTCTGCCATTTCCACTTCTTGCTGTCTGGACTCCTGGCATTTTGAATTGCTTGTGGTATCATGCTTTTTCATCCCCTGATTTGACTATGTTCTATGGTGAGTCAGAATACTAAGTGATACGGTGTAGGCACTTAGTCACAAAGGAAGGTCCCTCAGATTAGCCAACTAACAATACACAGCAGATTTTCTGATTTTTTGGGTTTGTTTTTTTTTTTTTTTTTTTTGCTCTGTCTTGTAGGCACTTGGGGTGAACGTTGTAAGCACTAACCAATATTTCCACTTGCTGTCCCTGAACAGACAAAAGGCAATATTCCTCAGTTCCCTCAAGGTAGGGTCCACATTACTAGTTTGGGACAAAAGGCTGTAAAGCAACATGTGGTCACTTCAGACCGAAGCTCTTTTCAAAAGTCAGGGCATAATTTGCTTTTCTCTCTTCACCTACTGAACAGAGTTGGAAAGGACGTTTTGATGTAGAAGTACTACAAGATCAAAGCAACCCAGATTGCTAGGCTTATTGCTAAATTTACACCTAGACTACAGTTGCCCTAGAGTCCCCTGGACTTGCAGCAGACTCTGTATGAATGAACATCAACTTTTACTTCGCAAAGCCAACGAGATATCGGTGCTGTTTGTTACTGCACACTGGGCCATCATACATAAATATTGGTTGAGCAAATAAATGACTGCATTGTTACAGTGGTTGGTCTTGGAATCATTCCCGTTCCCCCAACAAATTCACCTACCTTTTTCTTTTAAACAAACCATTCAAACCAAAATTCATCACTGTGACTTACTTTTACAAGTAGGAGGACTTGGGTTCCAGACACCTACTGTCTTATTTTCCACTGTGCAAGAAATGGAGGCTTTGCCTATCAATGAGAAGTTGGGGTCACATCTGTAGGTGACAGAAGAGCCATATGTGTAGAAATCTTCATCTCCACCGCTGTGCCTCCCATTGCTGATGTCTGGAGGAGGCTTGCATTTAGCAACTGGGAGTGAGTGAAGAAAAAGAAATAATCAGGGAAGGTACCTTTGCAAATCTAGCATTCATGATGCATATTCTAATGGAGGGTACAAGAAGCAGCAAAGCTGCACAAGAGTTTTATTTTCTAGCATGGTTTAGGTTTGCCGTCAAGCCAGAAAAAGTCTTTACTTACTTATACATTGTGGGAGAGGATCACTCCAATCAACTCCTTTATCTTGGATCTCACAATAACTAGTGGCTGGGCCAATTAAAATATATCTGAATGAGATAGGAATCAAGGAGTTTAATGAAATTCTTCTTACCTTAAATTAAGCTGGATAAAGGGGTCTGAACAAATAAACTGGTTACTCAATAGTAAAAATGAAGAAATAATGTTTTCCAGATAACACTTCCCATTGAGCCTTCCATTTAGTAAAACTTTCATCACTGCAATGAGATGTGTGTGTCTGTTCATTCGTTCTTTTATTCTGGAATCTATTATTGGGCATCAACTATATGGGGCATGGCATTCATCCAGAGCTCAACCAGGACAATGTAGGGTAAAAGACTCATTTGAGTATGTTCTGCAATTTTGTCTAGATGACAGTATCAGCCAGGTTACTGGCCCCGAACTCTCAGGCCTCTGATATGCAGCCCCCTTCTGGCTTTTGGGTGCTTACCCTCTCCAATACACCATTAACTTCCCTGTTCACGATCCCCATTTTTTATGGCTCTTGACAAGTTCTAAGCTTTCTTTAGTTTGTCTTACTGCCCTCTGGGTATTATGGTAACAGAAAGAAAAAGCATTGTTAGTATGTCTTAAAACGGTACTATCATCAAGGAATAAATGTACACTGTGGTTGAACACTAATGGAAATGTTAGCTTTGGCAAACTAGAGCCCCTGGGACTTATTTAATACTAGCTCAAAGAAAAATGAATCTTTTAATAAGATAAAAGACAAGGAGAATTAAACATTTCTTTATTTTGAAATTTCTAGGAAATGTAAGTTTCCTAAGCTACCCAGGAAACCAAGGGGAAAATATGGTTTCCAGTTATTCCAGTAGGAACCCTTTAGCATTCCAACAGCACCTCCCTTCTGAATCTTCGTGCTTTCCATCTCAGGAGCCATATGCCATAAGGGATAAATAAGGATACATGTGCGAAAATCAAACAAAAGGAAACATTAGAGGAAAATGTTAAACACAGGGGACAAGCAAAGGAGAATCAACACATACTTAGTTGGAGAAACTGAAGAAGGAACACAAAACAGAACAAAATAGCTATTTTAAAATGTATTTCAGGGTGCCTGGGTGGCTCAGTCGTTAAGCGTCTGCCTTCGGCTCAGGTTATGATCCCGAGGTCCTGGGATCGAGTCCCGCATCGGGCTCCCTGCTCAGCGGGAAGCCTGCTTCTCCCTCTCCCGCTCTCTCTGCTTGTGTTCCCTCTCTCACTGTGTCTCCCTCTCTCTCTGTCAAATAAATAAATAAAATCTTTAAAAAAATAAATAAATAAAATAAAATGTATTTCAAATAAGTATTGCAGAAATAAAATAATACTTAATCTACATTTTAAAAGAGCAGCACATAGCAACAAAATGTTGAAGTAAATGGTCTGTAACAAAACAACTAAGAGTAAAATTACTAAAGGTTATTTTGAGTTAAAGTCACTTGAAATAGACAAAGGAAGGCATTCTGACTTCTCTTTTCTTCCTGAAAGCGGGAGATAAAACTCATGTGAAAGATGCTTTCCCCACAACAGGAGAAAAAGAATAATCTTATCACCAGAGATGGGGAGGTGAAGCCAGGAGAGATCTGTACAAACAGACCTTGTCAAAATAACTCTTATCTTCCTGCAGCCTTCCATAGATTTTTGTTACTTTTCCACAACAGCTACTTTTTGTTCAACCTAGTATATAAGCAGAGGCCTACACACACACGATATATACACATGAACCTATGCATATTAGGCTTTAGACCTTGTTTCTTATAGGAGCTGCAATTTCCCCCCCCCAAGTATATCATTTTTCTTTTGACTTGGCTATTCTTTCTTCTTAAGGAAAAACTGTTTTAATGCTTCAAATTCATCAAACTCTCTTTTTAAAATGGTTTCTGGATTTTAGGTCTTCATTTAAAAGCCCTTCTCCAATACAAGATTTTAAACTATTTGCCTAGATTTCTTCTGCTACTTTTATGTTTTCATATCTTTTAATGTTTAAAGCTTTGATCCATTTGGAGGCAATATACAATACACAGTGCAAGATATATATCCTAGGCTATATTTTCCCATATGACTTTCCTGTTATTCCAAAAGTCCATCTTTAGTTTACTGATTTGAGAGTGCTTTTTAACACTATATTAAATTCTCATATGTATCTTGTATCTGCATATGTTTCTAGTCAACACCATTGTTTTGCCTACATATTCATATACACATTTCATAGTGACATACTATCAAGGCTTTATAATATATTTTAATAACCTCTATGAGTAGGTTTGATATATTTAATAACCTCTATAAGTATATACTATATATTTATATATAGTGTATATATATATATGAAAATATATATAGGTTCATGTATGTATCTATCCTAGAAATTAAGAATACAAATTTCAAGAAATTAATTTAAAAAAAATAGGCAAAGGATATGCCAAATAGTTCACAAATCAATACAACTATCTCTTGAACACATAAAAATATGCTCAATCTCACTCATAAGAGAAATATACATTGAAACTACAGTAAGATTTCATTTTTACCTCTTAAATTGGAAAATTTTCAAAAATTTCACAAGTTTTCAAAAGATTGACAACACAGTTGGAAAGTCTATGAAGAGACAGACATTTACATACTCTGCAAAACATGTAACCTCTAAGGAGAGCAATTAGGCAATATCTTCCAAATTTTCAAATAGGTATACTCTGACACAGAAATCCCACTCTGGAAATTTACCCTACAGATATAATTACATTTGCACAAAATTATATATGTACAAAGTGATGCATCAGAGCACTGTTCAGAATAGCAAAACATTGGAGATATCTATGGATACATCAAAGAGATTGTTAATCCATGATACATCACACAATCACATTCTATGAAGTTGTAAAGACAAATCAGCGATGAACTTCTATGCACAAACGTGGAACTATGTTCTGTATATATTGATGAGTAAAAAATAAAGCAAGATTCAAAGCTACATTTGTTATTGGAAAGGTGTAAAATAAAAATATATACTAATTTTAACTTGTATTTGTAAAAGTAAACACTAGAAAGATACATAAGAAACCAATAAATGTGGATCCCTGTTTAAGGACACACACAAAAAAATGAGGTGGATGGCAAGAAGCTAGAAGTGAGAATTCTCAGTGCATGTGGTTTTACATCATTTTTACTTTTGAAATATATCAGCTATTATTAAAAATTAATTTAAAAGAATTGTTTCTAGATTGCTTCACACTCACCCTTCTGAACAAACGAATTCTAAGTATGATCCAAAGAAATGATCTGTCTTAGATATCACTTTGCCATTTTGTAATTCTCCTGGGTTTCTGCATCGTTTCTCTGACAGAAAAATTAAAAAGATAATTAGTGATTCCAACTACTCACAGATAAGGCATTAGAAGACTGATTGATAGCTTTGACCTATGCTTCCAGAAAGATCCAGAGGCTGAGATCCAAACTTATTTCTGATCCTGACTCACTAAATTTTTACTTTGGTGGATAAATGAATACAAAATTTGATCTCATATTTTTCTGGTACATTTCACCAAGAGAGAAAAATACTCAGTTAAATCACTATGGTCATGGAGTCTGCAGTCCAGGATAGCTATTGATCAGGGAGCTATGCTCCGTTCTAGCTCTGTGGCACGTACTTTGTATGCAGGCCACTCAAAAATGCATATCCTTGGTCACAAAAGGGACAACGGAAAGTGTAGATATCCTCACTATTGGAAGAACATTACAGAATTTATTCTCAACTACAAGTGAATCACAGAATCTTCTTCCAAACACAGCAGATATTTTGGTTGAGGTTTCTCTGGAAACTGCATTACTTTTCTCTAGCCACATAATACTTTATAACTTTGTAAAGAATGAATTTGGTTTTCAAAATATTAAAATTGAATTTGTAGTTCACTTAGAAAAGAAGTGTTTACTGAATTGCAGGGTAAAGGATAAGCTTATTTTTCACTACAACCAGGTAGTTCCTAATTTCTGTTTTATTTGGTTCTTTGTTTATGCTTTTCAAAAAGTAGCACACGTATGTACATTGAAATCAGTGACTTGACAACTGGATGGTTTCTTAGTGACCAAAGAGTCTCATTTGTACTCAGAAAACTTAATTCCTGAGACAAATTTGCAAAGAAGGGAAAAGCATAGATAAGAAAAATAAATGTTCATACTTACTGACACAGAATTCATTGTATCTCCATGTGTTACGTTGACAGATAACAACCTGACTTGCAAAATTAACCTTACTGTAGCCAGGACGGCAGATGTATTTCAGGACAGTTCCATGGTTGAAGTGTGTCTCATTCAACTCAGTTGTTAAAGAAGCAAAGTATAGATTCGGTGGGGGACCACAATCTCCTGGACACCAAAATGACAAAGAGCGCCAGAAGTTATAGCTTGAAACACAGCATCTTAATGTTTCAGTAGTATGATTTTTAGAACAAGGACCATTCCTTTCTCCTCTAATCAAGAAAAATAATAACTCTTCTTGTCCCCATTGTTCAATGAATCCAGTGAGTTATCAGTAATACACATCTGCTGATAAATGATAAAAGGCAGAAATTTTTCATCCCCTTTCTACTGTTTATGAGATAATTTATCGAAAGGATGGCAGATGTGATTTTATTCACCTATCAGATTCCTCATATCTGCTGACTCAGAGATATCTGAGCAAAGCCAACAGTTCCTACAATTTTCCTCAACAGAAACATAGTATTTCATCAGTAAAACCATATGTAAGATTGCCTGTCTCAGGAAAGGGAAACCGGGTGGCTGGGAGATGGGTAAGAACCACATTCTTAATTTGCACCTTTTTGCACATGTTGGATTTTGAATGATGCAAAGGAAGAAGCATGGAGTCCTTGAAACATAAAAATGTTAATCCTGCTTTCCTTGCAAGAATTAAATAGGGGACCAATTTACCTTTCAGGAGCCCTAAGAGAAGTCTATACTTACTTCTCCTCTCTCTTCTGGATAGACCCAGAGGCAGTGAAAATTGTTCAGTCAGGCAGATAGATCACCCTGACTTGTTTGAAGTCATGTTTGGGAGACAAATTGTTTTGGAAAATTCCTGGAGGAGAAAGGCTAGGGGAACATGCGCAGAAAACTGCCTCTTCTATGGATAAAACAAATTCCCCCTAAATCCCAAATAATTCCAAATCCCCTTTAACTCCAAATTCCAAATTCCTGGTCAAACCAACCCTTGTTGCGGCAGGTGGCTTTCTGCTAGAAGCTGAATCATCTGCTAGTGTTAAGAGCGAATGAGTGGATGATCTTGAATGTTTGTCGCCAATCTGAACTTATCTCTCTAGTACTCACCAAGAACAGTAGCCATGAGAGTAGCGACCAAGGTCATTTGGAACAGAGTTGGATCAGAGACTCTCCATAGCCTAGAGAAGGGCTGGGCTGCCATTTTCTCTTTTCTATGAAGGATCCCATTTGGAGCTCTGGGGTTCATGACCTGATGATTCTTCCAGATTTTTCTGCCAAGAGACCTCAATTTAATAAGTAGTCATTGAATTCCTAGTTGTCATAAAGCACTAGGATAAATACTATGGGGTCCACATCTTCAAGGAAATTATGCCCTACAGTAGTAAAGCATATGCACACAAATGTTACAACATGACACAGGGAGTGTTAGCCTCTGCTCAGAGGAGAGATGGGGAGGTGGTTGCTTATAGAATTGTCCAAATCAGATATAAGGGTCAAGTTTAGGAATTTATAGATTCTACTCTTTAGGGAATAAAGAACCATTATTTTTCATTTTGGATTTTGTTTCCCCTTTGTTAACTTTTAAGCTAAGGAGTGATTCATTATTGTGCTTTTATTTTTATTTATTTATTTATTTATTTATTCATTTATTTATTTGTTATGTTCTGTTAGTCAACCTATAGTACATCATTAGTTTTTGATGTAGTGTTCAACAATTCATTAGTTGCATATAACACCCAGTGCTTGTACTTTTAAAAGATCACAGTGGCAGATGTGTACATTATAGACCAAAGTGAACAAAGACAGGAAACAGGAAGGTTGAAGAAGAAGACCATTGTACCTGGCCAGGTGAGCCACAGAAATGGTCTGACCAAGGAAATGGCTGAGGAGTTGGAGAAGAGGGAACAAATGTAAGACAAAATAATACTAAAAGGCAGGAAAAGGATGAGACAGAGAAAAGGAGTCAGATCTGTGTAGTATTGAGAGTTCCTCATGACAACTTTCAACAGAGGCAATAAACCATCGAGCCATTTGCAGTTTTAAAAGAATGGTTTATGGAGAGATATGTGTGTCTGTATGTATAGACATACATATATAGCTATACAAAGAAAAAGAAAAATACATGTGACTAATTGTACTTTCATATTTGATCTGACTATTTGAAGACTTCTTTAAAGAAAAATCATGAAGGACACTTTTCACCATCACTCCTGTTCCCTTTGGGAAAAACAATATATCTTAAATCTTAAATTTACATTAGAAATATTCCTTGTCCTCAAAGGAATATATGAAGTTAACTCCCAAAGAAATACTGAATTTCATGATGATTTTATTCTGATACCTGTTAGATCCAGATGATTCTATATGCCCCAGGTGTTCATAATTCATACTATGCACATATCTGTTGAGTGCCCTCAATGTTTCCCTCAAAGATGTTTCTGTCCCACTTTACAGGAAGAGACAAATTTATAATGACCCTTCACACTACGTGGAGAGACCTAACTTCCTAACTGAGTAATGACTCATTTGATCTTATCTTTCCAAAATTCAGTTCTGATGAAGCCATTCTTCCACCTGCCATTAGTCGTGGGCCATCCCGCCTGACAGACATCCTGGCCCCTGAGCTCTGGACACAGCCACTAGGACAATTCTGCTGAAAAGTAAATTCAGTGTGATGATCCACTTACCAAATGTATTCGCTTACTAAAATATGTTTACAGAATTTGTACCGAATACATTGAGGTGGTCTAAAGAGGTGTGAAGGAGCCAGGACCAGCATTTGGGGCCCTTACACATCCCTTTTCTTTTTTGTTTGCCTGCCCCTCCACTCCAGATCTCTAGGCTGTTCCTCTTGCCCTAACAATCTGGATGAGAAAGGAGACAGGTGGGGGTAAGTTTCATTCCACGTAGTGAAAACCAGTCCACTAAATCATCCATGAAATTTGCAAAATATGAAGTTTCTCCCATCCAATGAAAACTGTTATGAACTGTAAAAACTACAGAAATGAGTTTCTTTAATTTTTAATGAGTTCATAGATTTGGTTGAATTTCAGTGAAATTGAAGAAAGAGGTTTAAAAATACCAATATGCATTTTAAAATTTTGAAAAAGTAAGCTGGAAATTGTTTTTAATTTTTAAAAAATGAAATAAAATAAAATAAAATAAAAATACCAATACATTGGCAAAATAGAATTTAACTATAAAAACTCAAGAAGCTGACAGTATAAAGTGCAAATTCCCCATATGAATTGTTGCAGTTATTATGTTCACAATGAAAATATATACATTGGATATACTCCAGAAAATATTCTGAGTATATTTATAAAAACAGAGCCATAAAATTAAATCCTTACTTTTAAGAAATTGAACAGAAATACTTAAAATGCTTCTACAAAGAATGCATTCATTAGCTGCGTTCAACAAGAAGATATTTATAATCACTGACTATATTCAAAATGAATATTTAAAATGCTGTTCAGTAAATTGATCATTCAACAAACTTAGCAAATAGGTTTCAGAGAACTGATCCTTCAGGAAAGAAGCTTTTCCATTGTTTGGTCTGAGCCCCCGTGCTTTGATTGACCTGTGCAATCTGGATCCCTGACGGCCCCAGACATTTTCCTATAACGTACCCCTGCCCACGTCACTTGCCCTCTTGTCCTTCTTCCTTCTTTGATTCCTACTCATTCTGCCAGTCCTTTCTCCAATGTCCCCTCCTTGCCTCCAGGCCAGTCTCCATATTCTAATTACAACTCGGTGTTTATAATTTTGATTCAGATGTGGCTTATAACTGACATCTGAAGTCTGTCTTCAACACTAGACCACAAGGTCCTTGAAGTCAGAGGTGGGTTCTTACTTGCCTCTGCCCCACCTGGTACCTCGCATTGCACCTCACACAGTTAAAGCACTCAATAAATGTTTGTTCAGGTTACATTCAAAAGCACCTAGTGATAAAATGTTTTAAAGAGAAATAACACTGCTCCACATCCATATCTACTCTTAGAGTGTTTCTTTTGTCAAGGTCAGATTTTAATTGATTTTATTTATTTATTTTTAAAGATTTTATTTATTTAATTGACAGAGAGAGAGAGAGACAGAGGGTGTGAGAGGGAACACAAGCAGGGTGAGTGGGAGAGGGAGAAGCAGGCTTCTGGCCGAGCAGGGAACCCGATGCGGGGCTCCATCCCAGAACCCTGGGATCATGACCTGAGCTGAAGGCAGTCGCTTAACCAACTGAGCCACCCAGGCACCCCAGATTTTAATTGATTTTAAAGTTCTTAATGAGAACAGAGCCTAGTGATTTTACCCTAGGCTCTTCCCCATCCTTAACCTGAAGTCATCATATCCTCAACCATTCAACAGAAGACAGTGAGGAGTGAAGGAATGAACAAAACTAGTCTCCTCCCTCCACAGATTAGGACAGGAGATAAAAGGCAGCCATACATACAGACCCTACACTGGGCTGAGGAATTCCTATCACTCAGCTTCACGCTGAGGCCACAAACACAGTGCTGGGGAACACAGGAGGACAGTATGTAGCCAGACCCTGGGGCATGGGCTCTGGAGTCAGATCCAGGCTATGTGGATTGAATCCTGGCTCCACCAGATGGGAACTGTGTGTCCCTGGGCAGGATACTCCACTCCTGTAAGCTTCAATTTCCTCTTTTATAAAGTAGGAATGGTAACTATACAGTCTCTCAGAATTGCTGAGAGGTAGCTTGGCTTGGTGCACAGCTGGCACACAGAAAACATTTGAAAGAAATGTCAGAGAAGAAAGTGTTGGGATTGGGGTTGGCATGTGACCTTGATAGGACCAGAACTCCTGGAGTCAAAACACCATTATAATAATGATGTATAACTGGGGTTGGGGCACCTGGGTAGCTCAGTCAGTTAAGCGTCTGACTCTTGATTTTGGCTGAGGTCATGATCTTGGGGTCCTGGGATCAAGCCCCGAGTTGGGCTCCATGCTCAGTGCAAAGTCTGCTTGTCCCTCTCCCTCCGCTCCTTCCCCAGCTCTCCCGCTCTCTCTCTCTCATAAATAAAAATAAAATTTAAAACAGTGATGTATAATTATAACGGCATTTGGCTGCATCACCAGGGTACTTCAATTAAACCCCAGTGCAGAGGAGAGCCCACTGGATTTAGATCAGAATCCATTGGTTGGGTCTTCACTGTGGCCTTTGGTGATGGTGAGACCCAGTGCCACACCCAGAACAGAGACTCTGGTGCCCACAGGGGACTGTCCTGGGCTTTCTTCTTCCCCTAGTTTTCACTGTCTTCCAGAAAGCCACTCACCTACTCCCGTGACTTTGACCATCACCCGTGAATCACTCACAGACCTCTGGGCAGAACTATCTCCTTGTACAGTGTATAAGAACTTACATGCTTCATAAACTCAGTTGTTAATAAAAATCTTGTTCTGCCCTATTCAGTCCCATACATAAATTTTAAGTCTTTGAGCCTACCTCCTTTGCTCTTGTCACTAACGTGGAATTCCAGTGCTTAGCCTTAAAACTGTGAACATTTCTAAAAAACTATTCTGTCTTCCCCTGTAGCTGCACAAAAGCAGATATCTGCATCCTAAAGATGACCTTGCATATGTTATTTCCGCACTTTAGAGATAATTACTCTGCCACTTGAACAAAACCTTTAACTCTGGAAAAGTCTATAATTCTAACTGGTGATCTTCACAAATTATTTTTTGTCCAGGATAACATATAAATTACATTTCTGTTTTTGAGTGTGATAAATACCTGTGAGTTTTCTTTGCAAATCCAGAAATAAATTATTACACTTTTCACTTGTAATCCTGAAAGTAAACTCAAACTTTTCACTCTGTTGGATTTCTCTCTTTTTGAAAATATTTTATTTATTTATTTATTTATTTATTTATTTATTTATTTATTTAGAGAGCCACACAAGCAGGAGGAGGGATACAGGGAGAGGGAGAAAGAAAATCTCAAGCAGATTCGACTTGGGGATCGATCCCACGACAGTGACATCATGACTTGACGCAAGATCAAGAGTTGGGTGCTTAACCAGCTAAGCCACTCGTCAGATTTTTTTTTTTTTAATATCAGCTTTCTTGAGATGTAAGTGACTAAGTTGTAAGATATTTAAAGTGTGTATCATGGTGATTTGACATAGGTACACTTTATGAAAGGACTGTCCCCCCACCACCCATCTTGTTAATGAACACATCCATCAGCTCACATATTTATCTTTTTCTTTTTGGTGAGAACATTTAAGTTCTACTCTCTTAGCAAATTTC